GGAGTGTGTGCCTGGTTTCAGAGATAAATTTGAGGGGAAAATTGCCACCAAAGTTTGGTGATTTCCAAAGCTTGAGATAGTCCTTAAAAATTGCAAATTTACATTTTTTGTTTGTCTTTAATCAACGTTTTTCTCTCAGTAAAATCCACACAGTTATATATTTATTTTTTCATGGACATAAAAGGTGTTGAGCCAAACTAGGGGGAAATGGCGGTTTGTCAGTTCTAATGTTTTGACGAGCGCCTGATTTCACTACGATGCCTTCCATTTGTCAATCAAAACCTTTATCATCATGACAAAGGATCAATTTCGTGGGCGGAAATCACACAAGCTGACCCTGCCCGAGACGGTATTCGATGTATTGATTGGCATAATGCCGGCCTCAGATAACAAAAGATCAGCGATCTGTTGTTATATCATTCAGTAAATCTGTGTTTATTCAAACTACAATTGTGGATAAATCGACATGTGATGTACAAAAGACTGCCAAGGTAAGATAAGGCGTGTATAGCTTTACTGTGCTCATATTCTGTTACATTTTTCCCTTCTCTAGTCTCAACCCTTCTGTTGTTCCTCTTGTTGTTGTTTTTTCTCTTTCTTTTTGTTCTTCTCTTTGTTTAGATTGTTGGTTTTCTGTTGTTACTGTGGTTGCTGCTATTGCTACTGCTGCTGCTGCTGCTGCTATTGTTATTGTTGTTGTTTTCTTCTTCTTTTCCTTTTCCTTCTTTGTCTCCCCCATCCTTTTCCTAACCTTTCCCTTGTCCCTTTTCCTTCCTTTGCCATGCCGCAATCTATGTCTAGTTGGACCTCACAATATAAAAAGGTCAAAAACATGTCTCTTCTCTCACTGACTAAAATTTTGAATCACAATTTACAGCGTCCAAAATCATGAAGATAATATTTTCCTTGGAAAAACACACACATACACACACATACACACACACACAAACAAACAGACAAACAAGCAAACAACCTAACAAACAAACAAACAGCACACGCACATATCCCCTTTTAAAAGAGCTAGGCTCATTTTAGAAGTGGGACCTGAAATTTGATATTCATCACTAAGATTCCTCGAACACCTTATGATCAAGAGCCCTTTTGGGAAATTCTGACCATGATCATCTCAAACATAACATAATCCAGTAGGATATCAACTGAGATGAATGGCCCAGATAAAGCAAGAACAAATATGTTGGTGAAGGTCGCATTTCCAAATTGTGACGCCATTGCCCGAAGCCTGAATTCTACAATCATTGTGGTAGATGCTACTGAACAGGAGCACTGCACACTGCTTACGTTACAGCTCACCTATGACACTTTTTGACTAGGCAGATCTAGTCACAAGGAATTCATTTTATAGTGAACACTCTTTTGCACTAAAGGTCCTCAAAGCATGCGTTCAATAAAGATGATCTCGGGATTAGAATTATATGACGGACTTGCTTTTAAAAACGATATTGTCCAAGCTGTAAACCTCTTAAAATCAGTAAAAACCACCCAGAGGAATTTTTTACATTAGTATTTATTAAGGAATCTTCTAGAATACATCTAACGGGTGTTTACAAAAATAATGATCTGTTGAGACAAATTTATACAAGCCCCTTTGCAAAAACTGGAGAGGTTTATGTTTGATAGTTGAGGAAATATTTGACACAAAGTGGCGCCACAAATTTTTGACCGCACTATAGTAAGGTTTTACGGCGCTTGCAACTGCGTACGCGCTTACTCCTATGAATGTCAAGGGGTGGACGTTAACAGAGAGGTCCGAACGGGTAATCAGGCTTACTCTCTCTATCCTCAACAGCACAAAGTCTACTTCGACTATCAAGGCTCCCCGGAAAAAGCAGTTCACAAGAGAGTGACAAACATACAAAAATAGTAGAGGAAAAATGACGATAGTAAGGATGAGGAAAGAAAAAGCAGCAGTTCCCACTAAGCTGTTCCTGCACAGTATGAGCATGACATTAATGAGTCAGCCCATTTACAATTTCACTGTGCATAAGAACACGTTACTATCCCCCCCGCCCCCCGTTCCTTTGAAAATGGCCTAAAGACACTTCAGTTACTGGCACTTCCCTGATTTGGGGGAGGGGGGGGGGCGAGGCGTCACTACATTCGCTGGGAATAAAAAGAATATAGTTCACGGTTGATGATATAGGCTACAAGATGAGAATTTAAAAAAAATGAGACTTGCACCTGAAAATGAGTGTCCAATTATTGTAGAGTCCGCCTTCGTCCCAGGTCTGTATGATGACGCTGTCTGGGTCAGCCTGTATCAGCACAGAGCTGTGAAAACTGTCCAGTCTTGATAAGGAACACTGGTGGGTCACAAGGCTTAGACTGGCACTTCTGGAGTGGGAAAAGAGGGGAGGGGACAGTAGGTGGAGGATAGAGGCAGTCACAACTGATTGTATGTGTGTTTGTGTTCGTTATGTGTGTATGTGCGTGTATATGTGTGTATGTGTGTGTGTGTATATATAT